AGGGGGATCATGGGACAAAATTATACCATATATCAAATTATTTATAATATATTCCTGCCCAAATATTTGAAAAATTAATTATATATTAATTATTTTTTAAACATTATATATTATATATATTTTAATTATACATTAATTATATATCATTTTTAGAATATATTTATAACACCTCACCCATCCCACACGATGGGGGAAACGATAATAAAATAAATCCTAAATAAATTATTTATATATTAATTCCATATAACCTATTTATTATTTTATTTATTATTTATATAAATAATTTACTACCTAGCCCCCACCCCTCCACAAAATCAATAATATTATATATACTATAACAAAATATCCATTATATCCGATAATATATACATATATATAAATAATTATGCCTCTCCACCACCATTTTCCGTCCGTTAGTTTTCTGCTGAGCATATAGCATGCAGGACGACGCTACCATGGCATTTGTTTCCTCTTTTTTATTTATTTGGTGGTATTAATTTATACAGCTCCCCTTTAAATACCTTTTGCTGCCGTGTGCTCCCCTCCTTTTCCTTTGGGGTCATTGCACAGGCTTATATAGAGTAGCATCGGTGAACGATGCTTTTATTTATATTATAACTAATATTTTCTATTTTGTATGGTTTTCCTTTTTAAGAGAACGACAAAATCACCATAAGAAATAAAATAAAAATATTTTCAAATTTAAATTTATATATATATATAATTTATTCCTTATTTTTTATAATTTATAATTATTATATTTTTCAATTTTATATTCCCAATATATATATATATATCCAATTATTCTAAATTTAATTATATAATATAATTTAATAGTGAAAAATAATAAATATATTCCTATATAAATTCAACGGATTAAATTAGGACCTATAATTTTCTAATAAACAATATAAATTATATAAATTAAGGAGCCAAAAAAATCTAACAATAAATATTATTAATTTAAAATATCCTATAAAAATAAAATTATGTAAAGAATATATTTTCGAATTT